TCATCATCATCATCATCATCATCATCATCATCATCATCATCATCATCGTCTACATAATATTGACATGCATGGGCACCGGGTTGGAAACGTGTAATATGTATCGATTGTAAAACTCAGCGCGAGTAGAGGTTTGGTTTCCGATCCGGAGGCGAATCAACATGTCAATCACAGTTTCTTCAAGCAAAGGGCTAGTGGCTAGCTTCTAGTCTGATCTTTGTGGTGGTTCTACAAGTGCTCATGGTGCATTCAACAAAGGGTCCTCATGTGTGAAATGACACAATATTAAAACACATGATTAAAATTGCATTACTGAAAGTACGTACTCGGATTTGCGAATCTCACGTACCTTTGCTTGACATCCATGTTTGTTCAACATCCCGGTGGCAGATTCTTCAACACGATACACAGGTCTGGTGGTACCCTCCCCCAGTGAAACCCAGGATCCAAAAGGATCCAAAGACGTATTACATAGTACTCCATGAAGTGTTCAATCCATCGATCTTCATCCTTCTCATGAGGAGGTTAAGCTTCCAATGCCAAGCTTCCTTCAGCTCATCCAGCTCATCCCTCGTGCTTCCACTGAGGCTCCACACACTGCGGCTGCGCCGCCGGTGCCCCGGCCCGGAGCTCAACGTCACACCCCGCCGCACCGGTTCCGGTTCTCGCCGGGGCGCCGGTTCTCGCCGGGGCGGGCCGGGGCGACCTGGAGCATGAAGCTCAGCCTGAGGAGTGAGTTGATGTGAAGGCTTTCGTAGCGAAGAGAGGCAAGCTAAGGGGAGCTATAAGCAGATAGCTGGCCATTTTGAGCATTTGGGCCCAGGAGACTGATAAGATGGTTTGAATGACGGTCCATCAGCATCGGACGGAGCAAGTATTGATGCCGGATGGCTTCATGAACAATCTGGGCCTGCATAGTTTGCATAGTGTTTGGAGAGGCCGGAGCCCTACTATGGAGGATCCAACAATTTCTTAGGGTATCATGATCCCTATTAAGTCCAAAGACCCAGTAAAACCTGGTATTTTGCCTCCTTAAGTATCCTTAAGTAGTGTTTGTGTATGACCAACTCCAGTATTTCATGAGCTCATTGACTTGTAGGGGATCTATGATGTTCACTTTGGGGTATCAGCGTCTTGGGATGTCTTCGGTGCGCTTTTCTGCCAACCAACCGTTCGGGGACCAACCGCCTGGGAGTCTTCTCGCCGAGTCTTCTCTGAATTCCTTTGGGTCACGAATCCTCCAGACCCTGTGCAATTTCGATCCTCCACTCGTAGGCACACGATCCACTTCTTGCTCATGCCTGGATGAGATCCACTTCTTGGTCATGGATGAACTGTCCAAGCTGAGCTGGTTCTTTGATGTCCTTTTGGCTCCCTTCCACCACGAACATAGGACAGAACCTTCGGACCTCGGAAACCACAGGACCAGGGTCTAAACCTCGGACCCGCAAGGGTGGTTCATGAACACCTCCTCACTCTTAACCTCCACCCTAGGGCTCAAAAAGGGCTCCAGTCGTACCTCCTCAGAAGGTAGTTGGACCCTCTCAACCCACCCCAGTCCCACCTTCTCAGAAGGTATGACTGGAGCCCAAACGGGCCCTAGGGATTAAACACATTGTGTCAATGCACGCCACCACCGACAGCGCTCTTTTCGCCTGCAAGGAGGACAGCGGTCGTCCCGGTGGCCGACTGCCCAGCCTGAAGTCGCGGACGGGCCCAGCAGGATCGAAGAAGAAGACGGATCGATGCAAGAGATGGTATCCCTAGGGATCCAAGATGATCCAAGTACATCCTCAGAAGGCCCTGGCACCTACATCAACAGTCTCCAATCACCTTCTGACAGGGTACTTGGATCCCTAGAGTATGAGAGGTTGAGAGACCTGAACGTTCGGACCCTGGCTTGTGGTACATATGGGATGGGCATGGATGGACTAGGATGGGCTGTTCAACCTGTGCTAAAGCATGCAGGAGTTTCGTCCGTCAACCGCTTCGTTGTGCAGCAAATCCAAGACCTCACTCATTGAAACGTCCACATCCCTAGGTAGACTATATCTTCCTTTGTGGTATATCCACTTCGTCACGAATGCTTCTTCCAGGGCCGTGCGTATCAATAAACCGGCGTGTGGATCCTTTTTCGGCGAAGCATCGAGTTCCATGTCCTCTCCCAAACAATCCATGGGCCACATGTGCCGCCCCATCGACCCCCCGGTCACCACCCCTGGCCGTTTCTCGGCCGTCCTGGCAGTCCCATGTGTGAAATCTGGGTCTCCCCAGTGGCTCTGGTGGCTCGACCAGTGCCCCCACCCAAAACACCGGCGTGTCCGTCTCGTTGGGGCCCCGGCCGGGGTCGGGGAGCAAAGCTGAGGGCTCCTGTCGGGTCGGCCGCTGGGAGCGGCGGAGCGGATCTGAGGCCACGCCAGGCGACTGAGGCCACGCCAGGCGACTGAGAGGAGGAAGCGGATGCGACTAGTCCAAGAGGAACGTGCCAGGGAACTGGATGCAATGAAGTGCCAGTGATGCAATGGGGTGGGTCTCATGAGCTGACTAGTCCAACCTACCCTGGTGAGTTCGGGGCGGACATGGTGACCATCCATGACCCACCAGGGTAGGTGGACATGAACATGGAGAGGCGTCGACGGAGGCTCGGTGGTGAGCCAGCCGTGTGGTTTGGGGGAAGCCCGTAGTAGAGAAAATCTCTCTTTCTCTCTCTCTCAGACACGACGCTCCATGGCACTGGCACTGGCTTGCATTTGCATAGATTGGGGTGGTTGATTTCAGGGATCGATAGAGGGTTTCATATGCCATACATGGATGGTCGGGGCTCTCTCTCTCTCTCTCTCTCGCGTGCTCCTGTCTGGGTATAGAATCGAGGGAGGGAGGGAAGGGAGGGAGAGACAGCGTTGGGGCGTTGGGCCAAAGGCTAAACCGTTGGGATTCCTTTGGGTCGCCCCAGCAAAGTTTAGAGGCTGAATCCCGAACAAGCATGACAAACTATGGTTTTACCCCTTTTTTGTTTAAGGATTCTACACTAGAAAACAACATCCGGAATGCTCTTGAGAGTCGTTTCGGTTGGTTTCGAACGTGCCAGGGACATACCCAACATGGGATGCAACATGGATCAACACAAGATCCAACATGTGATGTGTTGGATTGGATATAACAATACCTGGACCTTCTAAGGGGTGTCCAATAGAGGTCCCTTAGTAGTGTAGGGGCTTCCAGCCAGGTGACCCCGACATGAAGGTGCTGGTATATGGTAAAATCATGCGCTGGACATGGACGTTTTGTGCAAGTAGACCAAAAAAACATGAATCACATGCACCCAACAGTTGGGCGGGGGGTCTATGTCTACCATCTCAAACAGCGTCGATTCCTTCAACAGCCAAAAGCCGTGACATGTGGTGACCCTGCATGGCTCATGTGGATGCAAAAGCATTGACTCGAATCGAACTTGTGACTTGCGAACCAATTGAATGACCAAACACTGCATGAGACTGGCATATTTACCTACATTGGGGTGGTTGATGTTCAGGGGTCAATAGGGGGTTTTATATGCCAGTCCCATCCGTCATGTCTGGGATAGACCACAGGTCTTAGACCAAGTCCCAATAGGGAACATCAAAAAGATCACCTTATAAGGCAAAACCAGGAAGGTCTGTAGCGAAAAAGTAGTAACCAGGATAACTGTTGTTCATTTTCCAAAATAACCTTATGCAAAAAATAAGTGTCTCATCACAACACGCAAAGCTTTGCCTCCTCGGACCACAGGCGATGGAAGGGCTGCACGAGCGGAGCGGAGTTCGTTCTTTTTTCGCGCGCGCGGGGGGGGGGGGGTGCGACCAAAGGAAGGTTCAAGGATGGTTTTATGAATGTAGGTGTGTGTGTGTGTGTGTTTAATCGTGTTCACTGCCTTTTGGGATCTCTTTAGATGCACCAAGACCCAGCTCTTTAGTCACCCGGAAGGATTGGTTGGGAGTTGGAAGGATGGATGGTTGGGCCATCCCTACATGACAAAGCATGTTGACATCGAAGCACACAAGTGGTCATGGAAGGGATGGTGAGACGGATCAACACTATATAGATCTTATAGTATAGTTATACTATATATATATATATGTATACGGTATACCTACTATAGGAATCGATATAAAGGAATGAGGAAGGGGAAGGAAAAGGAAGAAACACATCTACCAGAACCTACTCTACCACTCTACCTGTTCCCATTTTGTTGTGTATTTACCGCGTGATGCTTACTGCAAAAGTTCTGCCCACCCTGATGCAGGTGTTGTTTCTGTGTTTGTAAGTTTCTCTTGATCTGCAGGTGTTGTGATTCCAGTTGCGATTCCGTTCATGTCGGGTTCTTGTGAATTCTTTTCGTCTTCCCCAAAGCAACAAAACAAACATCCCAAAGGTCACCAGGGATCAGGCCAGCAGTCTTATGAGAAAGAACACCAGTATTCACTTTCACTCAAGGCTTCCCTACCTTATCAAAAACAAAAACAATGGGTCAACGATGTTCAACGGCAACACGTAGACACAGCAAAGCTATAATCCCCAGGAATCCACATACCCTCTGAGACGGTGATTGGACCCTCCAAACCTAAATAAAAGAGTCTCCAATCACCTTATCAGAGTCAGGGTATGTGGATCCCTAGGGAATATGCTGTATACTATACTTTCTTCAAACCTCGAACGTTCTTTTCCTGGTCCAACCTTGCTTGTGCGGAAGGGAATCCTCAATGAGCTAGAGGCTAGAGGATCTGACCGGTTTAACATGTTCCTTCGATGGTAGTGCCAGGAGAAACAGGTGCATTGCATTGCATGCTAAGTGTTGTTTCCTAAATCCAGGACCAACCCACTCCAACGATTGGACTTTAAACAGTTGCCGTGGCCCGGTGCAACAGAAAACATCATATCAACACATCCCCCCAAAAAAAGAAGAAGAAGAACAACAACAACATCAACAACAACAAGAAAAATGAAAACAAAAAAAAAAACAAGCATCACCCGTTCCGTCTCCCCCAAACACCACCGCTTCCCGTTCGCATCTCGCCTCCATAGACGGTGAGTGATCGGGTCGCTGGCCACGAGCCCAAGGGCCTTGGGACCGTGGAGACCGATAGCTCCGTCCCTCGGTGTCCGATGTCAGTTGGGGAAGAGAAGGTCTTTTGAAGGGGAAAGGGTGTGTTGGGGAAGTTCTGGATGATTCAGCCGGTATGTTTTGAGTATATGTTTGGCAGTTCTGCTGTGTTGGTGGTTCTATTGAAATGTGGAAAACGCTTGCTTGTATACTGTATACTATAATTGTCCCCTTTGGATGGATACACACATACCAAAGCAGTGGCAAGTGTTCTGGAGCTGGATCTATCAAAACCTCGGCAGAAGCCTCCTGCAGGACTATCTGGGCTGGACCTGTGAAAAGCTGTTCCCAAGTACCAACTCCCTGGGGCTCATCTCTTGGGTGCATCAAGAGGGCTCCAAGTACCTCCTCCTCAGGTATTTGGACCCTCCTGACACCCGGGCCCCCCAGTCCCACCTTCGAAGGTACGACGGGTGTCGCCCACACGGGTCGCCCACACCGTCGCCATTCCACGGTTCGAAGAAACACACACGCGCACACACACACACACACACTTACGATCTACGCTCCATCAGACTGGTGTATTTACCTCCCAGGATATTATAGGATGGTTGAGCAGTCAGGGGTCAATAAATATTTGCAAAGGTGCAAATAATTGCAAATACTTGAGACCATCCATGTCTGGAATAGTTACATACATGTACCCCATGAGAATGACCCCAATGTAGGGTACGTGACTATTCCATACTTACATGGTTCAGCCTCTCTTGACATCCACTTCGGGGGTAAAGGAGGGTGCCCGGCGATGGACCGATGACCCCATCAAACCACACCCCAGCAGCGCCAGAACCAGGTCTTCTGTCTGGGAAAAATCATGGGAACACTTCCCTGGTCAAAACCGCCAGATGAAGAGGAACCTGGAAAACCATCTAAAACCTAGGACCGCCTGGTACCAGGAACTGCTTTTTACTCCACCCTCTCCCCGTAGAGGAAGAACCTGCCCACACCCACTGGGCACATCACGGGCGAAAGGCGGGCACTGCCTTGCCAAATAGAGCGATGCTCTGGCACGACCGGGCCCGGGATCGGTGTCAATCTGCGAGGAACTTGGGGTGGGGCTCGGCAGGATGGGGAGGATGCGCGGGAAGTGATCCTTGGAAGTGGGGTGCTGGGGTGATCACTTTGTCACATCCATCCTGGATCATCTGGTAGGGAGGCTTTGGAGCACAGGATGTTGTACTCCAAATCCGCACCACTACTTGCAGCACAGGATGTAGCTCAAAATCCGAGCACAAATCCTGCAGAAGGTCTGCTTAGCTTTGGGACGCCAAATTCTGGTCCAAAAAGGGTGCGTTGTGTCATGGATTGGGTAACGCCTTCCCGAGGCTTCGGCGAACTGCTGCAGCCAACTGCTGCAGCAAAGCGAACTCCGCACGGGGTCGCGGTTTGTGCCGGGCCTCAAGTCACTAGAAGGGTGTCGGACTTTGCTGTCTTCCACTCTGAAATGCTGAATTCACATGGTGAGGTTGTAGATTTGGAAGCAGGATGAAGCATGGTGAAGGTGAAGCCAAGTGTTCGCAGCTGTCGATGAGTGCGGGAAAGGGGCTGCTTGTGACATCTGTATCAAC